TGTGAGCTGGGCTCGTGTTGGCTGGGTAAGTGAAGCCACGTTTGGGGTAGAAATGCTTCATGTCCACTGATTCTAACCTGTTCCCATTAAAACCAGCCTGTCATTTCTTTGTTATTTGGTAAGTCTTAAAGTGCCATAAATTACTTACAAAGTGACTTACTGAAAATTCTCTAATTTTTGCAGCTGGAGGAAGCTTTTTTCAACCAGAAATCCAGATTTTAAATGATTTATTTCTCCTCTAAGAACCACATTAGGATTTCTTGTTGTACATCATCACCCAAGAGCGAGATTGGTGCAAGTAGAAACTGTGGGGTAATTCATGCCTGTCCATTTGCTTTTTTTCCCCTTTCCCCTGACATTTCAGCTGTAGTAGCTGTTGTGGATCTTGGCCTTGCATTAACAGGCACAGGAGAAGGCTGCTCTTAATTATTACTTTACATTAAGGGTATCTATGAAATACCAAGCAGCAAACACCATCACATTAATTGTGGGCTGTATCCCTGGGTAATGAGGGGTGGGAATGCTGCAGGAACAGCAGCCACTGATGGCATCACTCTGCTCAAGCCTTTTTTGAAGCCCTTCACCCTCTCAAAAGTAAGAGGTTTGAACAGGCAGCTTGAAGGATGATTAGAACTGCTCACAGTCATAGTTAGCGTGTTAAAATATTTTACAAGAACCAGTGAATTTGATCAGAAAGTAGTTATTTTTGGCTGCCAATGTGGCAAAACCACTTAAAATACAAACTCAAGAATGTGTTGAAAGGAGTCAGTTTGCCAGCACAGCTATTGTTGTAGCAAAGTCTCTCCTCTGATCCAACGGGAATCATCTCCTCAAGTTTTATTACTTAAAAAGTTAACGTGGATGTCAAGCACCTGGAAATCTTTATGTCTTTGAAAAGAGCATTGGGAGGGGCTGGGTGAGTTTGGTTTCTTGTTGCAAACTCTGCTGTGGGGTGTTAGCTGGGGATTTTCTTCCCTTGGGAAGCTTTGAGGATTGATTTGGTAGTTCAGTGTCACTGCTTTGATGATATGCTCTCTACAAGGGGTAACAAGATGTGTGATTTGATGCATAAGTATTTGAATTTGCAGTGGAATTTCTCTTGTTTTTTATTTCTAGATTAAAAAAAAAAAAAAGAAAAAAAAAAGCCTTAGCTTTTTTTGCCTTAAAGAAAAAAAATGTAAAGCACCCCAACCACCACAGATGGATTCTTTAGAGAGACAGGACTGCCTCCTTTGAGAAAAATAAAAAAATGCCTGTAAGCACTCAGGACAGAATGATTTCAGCAGCAGAAATCCATTTTAAAGCGTGTCTCAGTGAGGGCTTGTGCGAGCAGAAAGCCCCAGGACCCTTCAGGAGCTGGAGAAGGGATGGATCTGCAGCCCTTGTTATCTCAAGTACATCAGTGGTGCTTCAGCCCCTGTGCTGCAGCATCACATGCCAAGGCAGGGGAGATGTGAAAAGCATCATGACCACTAAATTAATGTTTTACTTCGAGTAGGTGTGAAGGAAGATGTTGAAAACTGGGTGTTTTTTTCTTCCTCTGCTGCCAGCAAAACAAAGTCCCACACAAGAGAGTTTGAAGGTCTCTGTGGGAAAAAATGCCACTGCCAGCTCCACCAGAGTGCTTTGTCCAAGTTGCCCTGAAGGAATCTCTGCCAGAAATACCTGTTAACAATAAGGACCTGTTAATGTTTCACAATTATTTTCCCAAGTATTTAATTACTGCACCGGTCCCCAACACAAGAAACTGGCAGATATTAAATACACAATAACTCTGGAAACCTCTGGTCTGTCTGTATGTGCCAAGACCAAGACAGAGCTGCACATCTGCAGGTCTGGTGAGGACTCTGTGTGCAATCAAGAAGAATAAAAAGCTGGGGCTCTGTCAGTCATAACTACAAGTTTTCCAAAGAAAATCAATATGATTTTCATCTTTTGTGGAAGGAAGCTAAGCCACAAATTACTCATGGCAGGCACATCCCAACTTTTCTGCACAGAGGCTGCTCTGGGTTGAATTAGTGTTAGTGGCCAGTCAGGAGGGATTGTTTGTAATTCCCCATCCCCATGAAGGTGTTGCTTTGTCAGTGGCTTCTGACCAGATAAAAACTCATGATTTACCACAGGTGTGATCTTCCTGCCTCAAGGTGTATTTACAGAGTTCTTGCTTGGCTTCCCCTTGTGGATGACAAAGCTGACCAGGCTGTTTTTTACAACTGAAAAGAAACCAAAAATTGCAGCTTCTCTGCCTGATATCAAGGGAACATTGAAGCTTATTTTGATAGTTTATCTTCCCCAAGTGAGGAAACTGCAGCACTGGCACAACACCTTCAGTATTTCTGCCTCACTCTGCAGGATCTTAAAGACAAGGCTGTGCCTTGACGGATGTCAGAAAGAGACGTTGGCTTTTGAAGTGGTACTGAGAGCCTGTCTTCATTCTTGAGCCTTGATACACCTTTTCAGCTTGTAAATTTAGCTATCTGCCTAAATTTCATCTGCATGATAGAGTTTATGAGCTACTTGACAGCAGACCTTCCCAGCTCCTGACAGGTTGATCACTGACTCGGGACCCACGGAGCAGTTCCAGCAATGCTGCTGGATTCTCCTGAATTGTGACATCCATTGCTTGCAAAAAATATTCATGGACTGCCACAACACAGACTGATTCATTTTGCTTGGGTTTTCCACAGGAATAGGTGGGTTCAAACCTGCTGGGGGTCAAGGGGGAGCTGAACTGGAGTCTCCTACACCCTGGGAAGAGCTCCAGTCACTGAGTGATTTGATAACCAGAACACTCCCTATGGCTATCTTCCCACAGGCTTACAAATATAGCTGGAAGGTTTGTTTATTTTTAACTGGAATGAGCATATTGGTAATTTGCATGATTTTTTTTGGCCTCCAAAAATGTTTGAGCGACTCAGTAGGTGGCACCCTTTCTATTCCTTTATTTTCCACCAAATGTCAAAAATAAGTTGGAGCTGGAGCCTGTGAGTGTGTGTGTGAAACAAGTTCAGTAAAAATGTAAATGCATATTTGTCTCCTTAATTGAACATAGTATATTGTGAAATCATTACTGTCAGGGCACACTTGGGTTTATACAAACGCTTAAGTAAAGAAAATATATAAACCTAGATTGACTAGAACAATTTGAATGTGATAGTGGACATCTGTGTTCAATAACATCACTTTGGTAAGCGGTGTTTAATATTTCATGTCAAAGCAAGGAGAGTAATAGAACGGGGTATTTTCAGAATTCTTAGATTGCTGAAGTTTATGGCATGGCATAATATATAATCTGTCCTTTGTCAAGCTCACCAGAAAGAGCCCTACTGCAGCTGAAGACGTAAAGTGCTCTAATATATATGTTTCTAGACCTCTCCCTGCTTGAGGAATTAATCTTGGGAGGTGCTGAGTGCCCTGAAGTGCCAGTGAAGTCAGTGGGATTTGAAGTTGCTCACAGCTCAGAGAACAGGGATCCTTACAGGGGCTAATCACTCTCCTCCAGTCCAGGCCAGGAAAGCCCTTCAGAGCTCCTTAACTTTTAGTGTGTGAGGAGTCCTCTTAAAACTGGCATCAAGAATGCTGCTGGGACAGTGTCCAGAGGGCACTCATCCATCATCTGATAAAATGAGAGCTGCTCCCCTAGCCTTGGGAATTCAAAATTTGGTGGCAAAGAGCTGAAAATGAAAAAGTTCCTTGCCCAGGGGCAGATCTGCCACCGAGGGCTGAGCCCAGAGTGTCCCAAAGCAGATCAGAGCCTTATCTGCTGGGTTTGGGGGGTGGAGGGGGAGGAAAGGGACACCCCCTCATTCCAAGTGAAGTCCATGCATGAGTACATCACCAGCTCAGGGACTCTGTTTGGCTGCAGAAAGTTCAAAGGAAGAGAAACATTTTTAAGTATCTTCCAACTCTCTTATTAATGAGCAATTACACTGATGTTCTTGGATGAATTTCCACAGAGTAATTCATCTACAAACAAATCTTTCTTTTGTATTTCTCCCACCCCGCCCCCCCCCCAAACCCCAGTCTTTTGTATTTCATTTTTAGGTGAAATTCTGTAGTGAAAGGGGCCAAAAGAAACATGCTTTCCTGAGCCTCATGCTGAATGTCTGTCTGGATAGTTTCATTTTAACTGCAGCTTGGGAAAAAAAAATGTAAACATGGTGTGAGTATCGTTTTTAAGCTGAAACTGTTTTTCCCCCGTGTTCAAATAGCATTATAAATGTTTGCTCAAAAGAGGCATATTTATTCATCTAGCCTCTGAGAGAGCACTGTGTGCATAGGTAGCAATAAAAATGTGTTAAGGGCTGAGAGAGATTCCCCTGGTAAATGGCTTTTCTCTTGACCTCCTCTTAAGCATCTTAGCGGAGCTCTGCTGCTGCCTCTCTGAGGAAGTATGTTTGCACTGGGGAGGAAGAATTTTTAAAGTTGCAGAGTGTTACAAACAGTGAGCAAATAACTGTGGGGGTTTGGATGTTTGGTGTTTTTTTATAATGTTGGGAAAAAACTCTTATGAAATAGACATGAGATGCAAAGCAGTCACACACATCGAAAGTTGTTCCCAGCTGGTTATATGATTTCTTGGAAGAAAGATGATTATACAATTGTTATTCTCTAATTTTTTTCTGACTAATTTCTCAACAAATCTTTATTTTGATGTGACTATTCACCACTCCTGTGTTTGATACCTGCATCTACCTGCAAGTGTTGTTTAGTATGGAGAAAAGGAGGATCAGGGGGACCTTATCACTTTCTACAACTCCCTGACAGGAGGTTGAACCCAGGTGGGGAGTGGTCTTTTCTTCCAGGTAATGAGTGATATGGCAAGAGGAAATGGCCTCAAGTTGTGTCCAGGATAAGTTTTAGATGTTGGTTATTAGGGAAAATGTCTTCTCTGAAAGGGTGGTCAGGCATTGGAACAGGCTGTGCAGGGCAGTGGTGGAATCACCACACCTGGAGTTGTTCAAATAACATGTAAATGTGGTGCTTAGGGACAGGGCTCCTGGTGGAATTGGCAGTGTTGAGTTAATGGCTGGACTCGATGGTCTTAGAGGGTTTTCCAGCTAAAATGTTTCTCTGATTCTGTGCATATTCAGATATGGAACAGACACTCAGCATCATGTGCCTTCTCTGGCACACAAGGTTGCTGTCCCCTGAGTACAAACCCGAGTATTTTTGTGTGCAGAAATTATTTCCAGTGACTCTTTTGCATGAGACCATAGAATTGCTTTTCTGTGAATTTGGTTCACTCAAATGTTTGTGGAAAGGAAACGCAAAATAAGGAGGGATTGTAGCAGAAAGAAATTCATCAGGCTATTTGTATGAATAAGGGCAAGGCTTCCCTGCTTTGCTCACCCAACTCTCTCTCCTATCCAATTAAATGTGCACTTGGCAGTTGTCAGACTGAATAACTCAACTCACCACAGAAGCTGGAGATGGAAAACACCTGCTCAGAACATCCCTGTCCAGTGTAGAGCCATTTCCCTGCAGGACATGGGTCATCCCTAAATCCTACAGCTGACACACAATACACAGCCTCAACTGGCAACATCCTGTCCAGAGTTGCACTTCATAAATCAGGGGCAGGCCCAGTAAATCAGCAAGGAAGAGCAGTTACCAAGGCTGCATCTCCCCGTTTTCAGTTTTCTTACGTTCTGAGGAATCAGTGGCATGTCAGAAATGATTCTCTTACCCAAGCACTGACCAGTATCTCCACAGTGCTGTATCTTGCCAAGCAGGAACATAAGCAAACACTCAGGTCTGCACTGGGGACTTGAGCAATCTCCCTGCACGGCCAACATTCCTCCCAGCTGTTTATGTGTCCGTCACGGGGTCGCTGCTGTTGTTATCGATAGCTGATGTTGTTGCTGCTGCAGCACTGTGTCATTTTATCGTTCCTGGGTGGGAGGATGAGTTAAATCTGTGCATATTTGTCACGATGGGAGCCTCCAGATCGCCGTGTTCCTATGGAAACCTGGCCCTGGTTTAGCTGAACTGGCCCCATCGTGGGTGCTGAGCACTCAGAGCAGGAAAAAAAGCTGGCGCTGGGATCCGCTTGGAAATCTGCTCCCAGATGTATGGATGTTTGTTTATTTTTGCATTTAAAAGATCTAGAAAACTGCACCAAGATGCAAAATAGCATGGAAGAAACAGTCTGCAAAGACTAATCTTCACTGATTGGCATAAAGAGAGTATATGTTCTTTCCGTAAATTTTGGGTAAGATTAAATTACAAGAGGCCTAAAAGGAAAGATTAAAAAAAAAAAAAAGCCTAACTTGGCCAAGATTGTTAGTTTAGAATATATGTAGTGCCAAAACAATACAAGTTGCACAATTTCATCACACATACCCATTTCTTAACCCATTCTGGCTTCATCAAATTCAACAGAAGTTGATAACTCCGGTAGACTGGGATGGACTTCACACTGGGCTGTGGCAGCTGATGTCCTGCTTCTGGTTATGGTCTGTTGACCTCAATCAGGTAATATTGGATATTGTAGGGTTATTTCTGCTTTACCTGGTGAGTATTTTGAGTACAGAAATGCACCCTCCTCTCTGCTAGATGTGGGTTGGAAGCAAGCTCTGCTGTAAGGCTGCTGCTTCACTTTCTGAAAAAGCCCAGTGTTATTTTATGTGCCTTGCCAGGCCTTGAGATGAAGTTTTTCCATGTGGTCTTGAGATATCTGTAACATATGGTGACATTTTCAAATCCTCACCATGCTGGAGAGTCTGTGCTGTAATGTCACTGCCACGCCACAGGGATGCTGGGGAAATGGCTGGCGGAGCAAAGATTGAATTGCATTGCCCAAATTTTAACAAGTTATCACAGCAGCCCTGGGAAAACTTCAGCCATGTGGTTCTCTGAAGACTTTGAGCTATTGTTAATTAAATGACTGCTTTGCTTTTACCTCTCATAAAAAAACCCCCAAAACTTTGCCTCCCATAAAAGGCTTTTAGCTTGATGATGCATCAGGCAGAACTCCTGCCCAGTGTCTGCCTTATATTGCTGCTAGGGCTGTGCAAGCAACAAAGCTCCAGTGCCAGCACCCCAACCCAACTGTGTCTGGCTGGAAGGGCCCCGAAACGCCAGCCCTGCCTCCCTTTTGGTCACGAGGGAGACAGTGGCAGAAATTTTCTGGCTGATGAATGCACCAGGCGAGATGGGAAGGGCATGAAAACATTCAGATTGCCATGAGTGAGAAGCAACACAACATCCATATTGCGACTCTTGTTCTTGGCATTGCAACAATGCATAGTTTTCTGTTGTCTCTGGAACCACTCAGGCCTGTAATGAATGGAGTACCAGTGATTGGAAACGGTCCTTTTAAGCGGATGTTTCCATTAATTTGCTTTCCTCCTTAAACCTTATAATGTTGTTTTTTTCAAGTGTCAGCAGAAGGGCTGAAGCATCTCTTGATCTTGCAGATTGTGTGTCCGTGTGGACCAGTCCAGGCACTACGTGGAATTTCCAACACAATATCCACTTGTTCTCCAAGCTCTCGATGTTTTGATTAGTTCATTTCACTGGTACTAAAAAGGGAAGACATCCAAGGTCTACATTTTTAAAAGTGACTGCAGACAGCAATTCTGTTCACAAACATGGTATATGTACAGCTGATTTTAAGAAAAGCTGAGGTCACCTCCTTCTCCATGACTTCAGGCAAAGTTATGATAGTTTGATGTCTCAAAGAACTGAAAAAAATAATGGTCACCCTTTAAAATATCAGTCAAATGTTTAGAGTTGATTAGAACACCTCAAGTAAAACAAATGTTTATAAAACTATTTATTAACACCAAAACCCTGTGAACAATCAGATCCATCCCTTACACTGTCTCCCCTTCTTACCCAAATCATAAGAATTCTGCTGGTTTGAACATCTCAGTGGTCAGGAGAGGTCACATATGTGAGAACTGGGATTACAATCTTCAACTGAACATGTCTGAGCAGTGATTTATTCTTGAATTTCCCACACCCAAAGGCCCAAATTCCAGGATGTTAGCAAGATAGAAAAAGTTGTCCGGCATCTATCTTGTTCTGTTGGAGAGAAAAAGGTGGAAAAAGAGAGAAAGGCAGAGAAAAAGCCCTTGGCTTCATCCTAGTGTGGAAACCTTTTCCCATCTCAATTTGGCTGAAAAAAAGAGCCAAAACTAACAGCCAATCCTTAGTAACATAGGGACCCCATTCAGAAAACTGTTTAATCCCATGCTTAAGTGTACCTATGGATATGGGTTCTGTTCAAACTTGCATGTTTTGCTGGATTTGGATGGATTTAGATGGAAACTTGAAGATCTGGAGAAGTAAGTTTGTATTAGGATGGTTGTTGAGGCTGCCCAGAGAAGCTGTGGCTGCCCCATCCCTGGGAATGTTCGAGGCTGGGCTGGACAGGACTTGGAGCAATCTGGGATAGTGGAAGGTGTCCCTGCCCATGGTGGGGGATTGGAATGAGATGGACTTTAAAGGCCCCCCTGCAATTCAAGCCATTCCAGGATTCTGTGATAAAAGAGGGATATCCTGGATCTGATTTACTTTTGCACCACTTCAGGAGAGCAGCCCCACGTTCCCATGCTCCCAGACGTGCTGGATGTGTTTTGATGAGCTCACAGAAATGTGGGATTCGCTGGGACCTGGGAGGTCACTCAGCCAAGCTGCTGCACCGAGGCCAAGACCATCCCTGACGTGTGTTTGCCTGCAGTTATTGCAAACCTCTTCCCAGGGGACTCGCTGACTTCCCTCTTTGCATTTAGGGATTCACAAACGTCTGTGGTTGGGAAGAGCTGCCTGATGTCCAAGCCACCCCTGCCACAAACCCTGTGGGATGCAGAGCTGTCCATGCCCTTTCCATCACCCCCTGGAACTGTGCCCTCTGTCCCATCCCATTGCTGGGACCCAACAATTCCTCTTGACCACTCTCACAGCTACACATCAAGTGACCCTGAGCTCTTTCCAGGTCACTTTTCTAGATTTTGTGTTGAACAGGGATTCTCAAAATCCTCCCCAAATCCCCGAGGTCCAACGTGGGGAGGTGCTGGAGGACCTGCAAATCCCAGTGGCCATGTGGGGTGACCCATTACCTGGGGGTTCCCACGCTGATATAATGGCATGGTTGTTAGTACAAGAAATATGCTGGGACTCAGGCATGACTCTGCCCCACAGGATCACAGAGTGATTTAATATTTTAAACTACAAAACTTGGCTTTTAACAGTTTTTGCAGGGTGCAAGGGGACTTACAAGATAGCACTGTATTATTCACTACCATGGGCCACCTTCTGAATATTATAAACCTTAATTTACTTTTTTTATAATCTGAATGGACTTTTTAAGTATATCTAAGGGAATTGGAGTGAGGAGAAACATTGCTTAATTCAGCCATTGCATCCTTAAGCCAGATTGGAAACATGGAAACCATATGTGAGCTTTTAGCTAATAAAATAAAATGCCAAAATCTGGCGGCTGAAGCTATTGCACCCAAAATATAATTGCACATATGCTCATTTACTCACTTATAATCAAAACATTAAAAAAAAAAAAATCTTTGATACTCAGACTAGGTGTAAGTGTTGGACTAAGTTATTTTACAAAATTATTTTACATGGAAAGAATGTGCACGGCTTTTTCTAATGGCAATATGAAAAGCAAACTGTATAAATACAGCCACACACAGCAGCAATTGATAATGTTTCACCTGAACACAAAAATGTCCTCAAACTCCTTTAGCAAGCCTAATTTCTCTTCATTTTACTATAAGGTAATCTTACTTTTAGATAGCTCTAGACTACATATTAATGGTAAATGTGTGTTTTATGCTGAGTGTTGGTTTTCTTAGTGGAACATTCATTTTTTCATTACTGAGTCCTAAAGAGATATTTAGCTTTGCCAAAGGTGCCAGAACTGAAATCATCTCTTTGCTTTAACACTTCATCCCTCATGTCCTGACTGTCTCTAAAACATTAGTTTTAGCTGGTTTTAGCCTTTCTTCAGTCCAAGTTTTACTGTCCCAGAGATGATTGGAAGCCTCATGGAGATGTCAAAAATGGTCTGTTTAAAAATCAGTCAGAGAAGACCCTGCTTCTCATGCAGAGGTTAAGGATCATATAATCCTTTTCCTCCTCCCATCTTTTGCTCTGATATCACTTGCCTGAATCCAAGGAACCTCAGCTCAGTTGGGGCAGCAGAAAGGGGATTTGCAGCACGTGGTCCCTTGGGAGATGTTTGCTGAAGCCACGGAGGGATGGACAGAGAACATTGGTGGCATCAATCTTGGACGCCGAGGTGTAGTGCAGGGCTGAACCACTGATGGGGCCACAATAAATTCCCTTTTCCTGTGGATTAGCTGTCAAGAGTGGGAAGCAGGAGGAGCAGCATTGCTCTCTCTGACCGATAGACTGCACTAAAACTTGTCTGAGCATAAACCTCAACCCAGGGTGCAGTGAGGTGCCGTTGTCTGGCTGGAAATAACAGGAGCAGCTCTTTAATTTTGGCAGCAGTGACCTTCCTGGTGCTGCCCTCGCCACGGGCAGCCCCCATGCCTGATCCCAAGGCCAACACAAAGTTCCTAGAAATTAGCCAAAGTGACTGAAAAAATACGGGACACTCATGAAGAATTTGATGTTTCAATCGCCAGCACTTTATTTCTTTAGAAACACGAGAGAATGGGGTAAAAATTATCATGTGCCTCCTAAAAGGATGAGAGAGGAAAATTAATTAGTAGGGAAGCAATTGGATGGGAATGTGGGTTAAGTGGCTGGCTCTGCCACTGGCTTCTTTCACAACCACGGCCAACATCCATAATTCTTCCCCTCTCCAACCTCCATGTCCCTCCTGCCCCCATGCTCCATCTGTACAACAGCTCCCATCTGTAAAGTGTTTCCATTGTTTGTCTCAAGGGCTTGATGGCTTTTGACTCTGTGCAGCGCGTTGCACAATGGCCTCTGGATGCGATTTTATAAACAGCAAATATAAATAGAAGACTTTTTAGGGGAGACTAATGAAAAAACTTTAGGAATAATCTGTTTAGAGTGAATTTGAAAGTGAAAAGCTGACATGCAGATGCAGTGCTGGGATATCTTTAAGATGGGCTAGCCAAGGAATTGGCCCTTGTTTATTTTCTTATGTGATAAGTTTGATAGCAAAAATGTTGAAGGGTTTTTTTTTATAATTATAAAATCAGATGGAGCAGCCAAAGGAATGAGTGAAGTCAGATCAAAGATGATAAATTGAGTCTGATGAGATGAAGACTTTACCTATTTCAAATACCCAACTGAAAGTCTAATTTTGCAGAAAATTCTTTCATTAAAAAAAAAAAAAAAAGAGAGAGGAAGAAAAAAACACAAGAGAAATGAAAAGAAAAACATGCCATAGCCAATAAGTTGTGAAAAACTCTGGAGACTGGCACTTTCAGATGCTTGGCAGGTTTTTAAGCCAATTTTTATTTAGTCCACTATAACTGTTGGAGGGTCTGTGATTCCCAACTGTTTCACATCAGAGAATGAAAACAACTATAGCCCAGCCAAGACCACATTGGTGACTGCCAGCCCCTTTATGTGCCAAACATGAAAGCAACAAGTCCAGATGCTTTGATCCCAGCATTTTTGGATATAGCCCAGAATGTTTTTAACTCATGTTAGGACAACATACATTATAACTGGAAATCAATCAATAGCACTGTGACCTTCAAACGCAGTAAATGTTTGGAGTTAGTTTCTGAGCGTGTAATCTAAATTGGGGATTGGAAGTTGGAAGCAATCCTAACCTAACAGAAAAAAAAAAAAAAGTGTATAGTTTTAAAATCTGGAGTTGCAAGGAAGCAACAAATGAAGGTTTAATTGTCTAGGGAAAGATTATCAGGCACTGGAGATGCATCTGATGTGGAGGGAGGGCTGGAAAAGCCCAAGGAGCAAAGCAATGCCACCCAGCCAAGCATGGTGGAGAAACAATCAATGGGATAATATGGGAGAAATAAATATGGATAAATAAATAAATATAGCCCTTGCCCACTCTGGACGTGGTTGGTCTTCACTCCACACTGAGGGTCTAGAGGGCAGGGTGGCACAAAAGGGTGAGGAGATGCCTACGGGGAACAAGCATGGAAAAGCCATTCACGCATCCCAGGAAAATTCATGCCCAATATCTGCATCCTGGACATTTCACATGAGTCCTGAGTGACAGCCTCACACTGGGGGACTCCTTTGACAAAGTTTGTAGCAAGGGGGGAAAAAAAAGAAGAGATTTATTGCAAATATAGCCATGTTACAGGCCAGGCTTTAGCCTGTCTTTTAAACAAACACATGATCCCTTTAACCTTCACACTGCTGCTACATCAGTGGACCAACACTTGATGTGCACTGATTTAAATCAAGTTCTGACCTCTACAGGGAAGACGTGGCTTCAAAAGGGAATTAAAATAGCTTAATCTCTTTTTCTTTTTTACTTCTGAAATATGATTTAATTGTATTGCCACTAAATACCAGTCTAGACAAGGTCTTGTTAAAAGCTTTAAAATCCCCGAGAAGTTTTACCTATTAGTGATGGTGAGTAGCTGTTGGCATGTAGACCAAACTCACACAAAGCTCACTTTTAGTAGTGCTCTCAAACCCTATCACCAGCAGTAAAAAAACACCCAAAAAGACAAAATGGGGGGGGGAACCATTCTCCAGCTAGAAAAGCAAGCTACTCTTAGCAAATCTGAAATCTGCGATAATGCAAATCACAAATTGTCAAACAGCTGTGTCAATAAAACACCAACCTCATGCCCAGCCTGGTTGTCACCTGCAGTTGTGGGGACACAGTGGTGATGGCAAAAAGGTGTCAATTGTAGTGTAATGTAGGGAAAGGAGAGAGCCAGGTCAGTGGGCACATGGAAACCTCTGGGAGAGGACACACTGTCCTCAGGCTGGAGTGTCACCTGCTGGTGGGAAAACCTTTATTCCAGTGAGCACAGGGCTGGGGAGTGCAGGAGGTCCTGAGAAGGGATTGTGGGGGCAGGCAGAGGCAGCCACACCCCTGGGCTGAGCCTGGGCATGGCTTTGTGAGCTCCAAACCCCTGTCAGAAGGGGCTGACTGCAGGAGGACCGTGTTCTTACTGGTTTTGTTTTTACTTCTCACACCTGGACCTCCCACACCTGTGCTCCTCACACCTGGACTTCTCACACCTGTGCTCCTCACACCTGTACTCCCTTTGCCCTCCAAGCACAGCCCATGCCTCTCTCCTTTTCCAGTGCACCATGTTCTCAGTGGCCCATTTTTAAGAAAAGGAAAGGTGTCCCAAGTGTCACAGGGAATCCAAAAGTGTTTTCATGAGCCTCCAGCCCTTCACTGCCAGAAAAAATGTTTTTTGTCAATACTAGGAGAAAATAACCTGGTGGTAGATAATTGCCCTCATTTGTCAGTCTGAGCTGATGACTTTCCCATTTCATTTCCTCCTGTGTAATGTTACAGGGGACATATATGAGATATTCAGCAAGGACTGAAGCAGGGAAGTCTGCAGGAGTGTTTAGTGGGAGGTCAGGAATTTTTAAGAGGTATTATTACAAGGCAGTGTGGTTTGGGTCATGTTTCTTGTAGACATCTTGTCAGGAAACTTTTTGAATAATAAATTATAATCTTTTTATATATTCTACAAGCTTATTAAACTTAATCTTCAAACATAAAACTGAATTTTGAAAAATATCATCAGACAAGCTCAGAAACTAAACAAATAACATAGAAACATAAAAAAGAAGAGAAATAAAACATATGCTGGCCAGAGTTTTAGAGACAGTAGCCACAGCACAGCAGATTTTAATTAGCAGCTACCTGCAGTGGCAGTGGCCTGGGATGAAATGTTTTGATGTGTGTAAATGTTTCTATAAAACAGTTGAAGCTTTCTTAGATCCTGTATCACTGTTTTCCTGAGCATTGTGGTTTTCCAGCATGGACATTTCACAGACTGGGATCTCAGGAAGATCTAAAGTCTTTGCTTTCTGTCTTTGTTTCTCCAATTGTAAATTGAGAATACTTACATTTATTTACTATGAAAGGCTCTCAGTGCTTCCAAAAACCCAGTATTTAATGGCTGGGTAGGACCAGCAGTTGTGGTAGCAATCACTGAAGGCACAATCTTGCCATAAATCCTGCTCACACTCAGACTTGAAAAATAACTCCATATTTAGTGACACAGAATTCCTCTCTGAAATATTTCTCCTGTGCCATCTTTTGTTAAAAACATTCTTGAGCTTAACTGGCACCGTCCTTTTCAGAAGGGTAAAGCAATTTCTGTTCATTCTGTCAAATGCCTGCTGCAAGTGGCAGGGCACTGCTGAGCCTGACTCACCCAAGGCACTTCACAAACCGAGTCCTTAAAGGTGGCTTGGTGACCAAAGCTCCAGCTCTGCAGGGATTTCCTCATGGCAGGACCTCAGCTCTGGTTTGCATGTGGAGAAATTTGCTTTATCATCACCTCTTCCCTTGCAGATGGGTCAGAATCACCCAAAATCATGGCAAAAAGCAGTGATAGAACCACTGACATCACTTTGTGTCCCAAAAAGACGTGGGATGATGAGGTAGGTCTTGAAGAGCTTTTGGAGAAGGAAGACTGCCCAGCACCATGCTCATCCCAAGGGACTGAGTTCATGGTACAGAAAGAGATGGAAAAGCAGGACCAATGCAGTCTGTGAGTCAAGATTTCATGGTGAGGGCTGATAATGTCTGATAAAGTCAGGAGAAAGTCTCCCTTCCTGAGAACAGCCTGATTCATATAATTTATAAAGGCTGAGGTGTACTTGGAGTCCTCTACATAAATGCTGCCCCAAGTCAGGCAGGTGGCTGCTGATTCTGTTTAAAGGAATGTCTGTAAATTTTATGCCTGGGATATCCCTTAATTCGTGTGCACTGTGGCTCTAAATGGGAGAGATAATCTCTTTAAGTGTCTATACCTGTGCCCCACCTTCTGTGCCCGTGATGTTCATTTCTGGGCTCATATTTCTGCCCTGAATTCCCTGGAGCCCAAAAGGCAGGATCCTGTCTTGCAGTCCACACCTTCACCCACATCCCCAGGGGGATCACCCCATCCCATGGAGCCATCAGATCCATGTCCTGTCCTGATTTACACCCTACACAGTCCAGCCCTGCCCCCAGCTGGCACCTGGTGAGCAGATAATATTTATAGAGATATAAATCAGGGAGCCCCTTTCCAATGTAAATAGTACCAAAAGGATTTGACCCTAGGTACTAATTTCCTGTCTTAATCCTTAGTCTAATAGAGTGTTCTTGTAAAATTCAGCTTTTCTTCAAAGGTGCCTTTTTTCAAACTCTTGATGGAGGTCGGTGAAGTGATGGATTGTGAATCTCCAGCCTCAGAGTGAGGGTGAATGTGATTCAGGTAATTATGTTCTAGGCACTGTGACATATTAGAGATAACTATAGATTTGTGTTATCTGCTGTGTCACATTTAATTGGTGGCTCTCTGTGTCATGTCACAACTGAAGACACATAAAGCTTTTTAATGGGAAATCTGATCTCACCTGGGGGCATCTTCTGTCTGCAGTCATTCTTCTCTATCCCAGGAAATATTTCTATCACCAGAACCACAGCAGCTCTTGATGAAAAATACAATCTTCAAGTGGTCATGAGGAGGTGCTAGAAGGTCTAGGATGAATGGGTAGATGGACAGGACAGTAGGGGGAATATCAAGGAACCAAGAGTTTATTCTCTTGCAATGCTAATTACCTATGTTTGAATTTCTGTCCATTTCTGCCCATTTTTGTAAGTTCTTCAAGATAAGAATAATTACACTGTATTGGTACAGAGATGGCCATATTGGCTCTCTTCTTATTTTTGTATCTGTTGGTTTTCCTATAACACAAATAATAACTATGGAATACTACCAGACACTGGGGATTCTTTAAAAATTTTATTTCAAAGTGAGATCCAGATCCAGGCTTAGAACAAGAATTTTTTGGCACAGGCACAAAACAGGAAAGGGAATTGTATGGTCCTTTAATGAACCATGGACCAGGCAAGGTAGGTTGGCAAATCCCACTGAGAAGCTGCTGATTCCAGGAATGTGCTACAAGGGGACCTTGCATTCTCCTGGAGGAAACATCCTTCCAGCTGAACCACACAGCTCATCAGCCCCACATAACTGGCTGGATTTATCCTCTGCAAATTCTCATCTCCATGTACAGAGTCAGTCCAATGTTGTTAAGCTTGTGAAATTTGATGGGCTCACAGCACGAGGCAGTTTAGCTGCTGCTATGTGAGCTCCCCCTCTATGTTCAGGTTTATTGAAAACCTCATGTCCCATCTGTTTCTAGATGTTCTTTTCATGTTCCTCATCTCTTTAGGCTGTCTTTTCCAAAGAGCTCGCTGGATCCATGTGGACTTAATAAGAGGTTTTGGTGTGTGTGTATAAGCACAAGGACCAAGATGTCTTATTTCATAAAAATCTGTCACTGATTTATTCTTCCTTCTGCTGCCCTGCTTCCTGTTCATTTCTCCTCACACTTCCAGAGCAAGGGATGCTGTTTACATTGAGGATGTTTCTTGTGTTTACAGATGGGACAGCATTTGTAAATTATTCCAGAGTTGTTGTTTCCAAGGAACCTCTTCAGGCTTTCAAGAAGGGCTCTCACCATGTTAGTGCTTCGTGCTCACTGTTTATTTTAAATTTGTTTTATATGTCCTAAAAACATCCCATGGGACCAGCCAACTCCTGATGCTGTTGTAATCTCCCTCCCCAGCATTTTCTGATGGCTGGACAGCCAGGAATGCATGTGGACACTGGATCCAGCAGCATTTGTCTTCTCCTTGAGTGGAATCGAGCATGACACTCAGGGAGGTTTATTTCAGAAAGGCACCATTCCACCTCCTCTCTGTCCCCCATGGGTGTTGGGTCTCTGCATCATAACTGGGAGCACTGGAGTTTTATAAAAGCACTGCTTTTTCTTTCAGGAAAAGGATCAAAACCACACTAGTTTTATGTTTCATTGTTTTGTGTTCTCTGTCATTTGAGCTCTGCTTGAAAGACACATTTGTTGTTTTGAACATTTTCAAGTTCATTAAAAATATAGTTCAGGAATAGATCAGCCAGAGGCATGGCTCCTCCTGGAAGTCCTTCTGTCATTCATGGTGGAGTTTGTCCTTCTCTTGACATCTGAACCATAGAGAGACGCTGAAATAAACACATTTATCAGCTAGATGTGCATGCACTTGTCATGGAAGAGTGGACACGAATCTGAATCGACTGCCATCCTTTTTATCCTGGGATGCAGGAGGATATATTTTCCCTACCATCTTGACACAGTTTTGCATAGCCTAAAATAAAAAGCACATGTTTGCATGAAGGCGAAGTGCACCGATATCTAAACTGTCAAAGAAGAAGAGCAACCAAGCCAAATATCTTTGGCTAAATGAGGCAGGAATTCAAAGCTGAGCACTGTTGATGAAGAAAATGCCAAATTCATTGTCATTGCTCGTAGTTTTTTATAAAAGAGGAGCATTGTTGGCTGATCTCAGCAGGCAAATCTAACCTGGAGTGTTGCTGAGCCAATGAGACCTGCATGTGGCAGCTGGCAGAAAGCAGCTGATGGCTTTTGGAAAACCTCCCCTGAGCAGGAGCATTTCTATGTCTTCTAAGTCAAGCATTCAGCTCCTACTTGTTGAACAACTTTATTTGAATTATACTAGACCCAGTTTCTTGGATGAGATGGAAAACTGAGGTCTTAACCTCCTGTTTTATGGATTTATTTTTTTAATCCAATTTTAAACTTCACAATGTTCTTACTAAATTGCTGACACTTATACTCAGTCAAGTCCTGGGGGAATTTTTTTAACCATTTCTTCTCCAAAGTAAATTCCCTTGAGAGGAATTGAACTCAGCAGAAATATTTGTCTGAACAAGCACCATGGGAGTTCTCACCATGCTTGTGAGAACTGTGGAAAGTAACTAAAATCGCTAAATAGACATTTAAAACCTCAGTTTTGGCAAAAACCATCTCCATCTGGAGACATGTATAGAGAAACTGTTGCAATCTGAAGCATGGAGAAGTTACTGAGTTTGTTTAGAGAAGAATTTTGAATTAAACACAGAAACCTGCCTAGGTATGGGTTTAATACACACAATTTCAGTTTTAAACATAATCCATGAGCCAAATTTTAGGTAGAGATGCTGCTGCTGAAATGTTATCCAGGAAGAGGTCTGAAAGGAGCTGATACTTCTGTGACAATGCAGCTTTGGGTACTTGATTATTCTTTCCATTCCTGTTTTTACTATGCTCCATTACCAGTAAAATATGCAATGTCAGTCCAGCTCTACCAGTTTTGAAGTGCTGCTTGAGAATTGTAGGAATCTTTTGGCAGGAAAAATGTATCTTTCACATGAAATTCTATAACTATCAAGATAAGTTTTAAAAATATTTTCTTTCTCAAAGAACTGCAGATCAAGCACTGCTCTGCAAACTGACACTCTTGATGAAGCAATGAGCCCGAGCTGCCTGAAAGCAAAGTGAAGAGGCTACAAGTCCATAAATTTGCTGTTATCTTGTGTGCCTTTCCAAAAGGTACTGGAATTGATTTGTCTTCCTGGAATACCATTTTCTGTGTCAACACTGTAGGATGATGCTGCCAAAAAGCCCCTCATCCTTCTGGGGAAAGTGGCAGTTCAAATGTGGATGTGCCTGACTGACACGAGCTGTTATCCCCACTTGTGTCTGGCTGCATCTCCCTAGAAGTTGCCAACCTTTGGGATTTCTACTTCCTGCTGTAATGGATTTGAGCAGGAGAGTCAGTTTTCAAGCTCCTTGACCATCCATGCTTTGAGTTTTAATATTATTCCTACAAGCACCTCTGAAGTAAAGCACCTTTGATATAAAGAGAAAGTTGGGTCCTCTCTCTACCATTATGGGAAATATTATCTTTCAAAAGAAGGGCAGCATTTACATGTTTAAAAAAATCAGTTCAAGGTCAGAAACAATGACTTCCAATGCTATTTTTCTTTCAGGTTTTAAGTACCCTGAAGCATTTGAGCTCACCCAATAATGGTGATCACTTCAGCTGATCAATTCCTAGGTAGCCTCCACCAAGATGTGTTTGGGTAATGTACCATGCAATATTGTTTTGGGGTGGACAATTTTCTGATGTTCGATTGCCCTGGGTAAGACATTTTTGGTGAATCATTATACCAAAATGCAAAGAAGGTAACTTGAGAAAGATGCTTGTGTTTCTGTAGCACTTTGCAGCAGATGTCTCCTATTTACTGCTTTCTTTTATTGCTTAATGACTGAATCTCGAGTAATTGAGCGATTTGACAGATATTTATTTGTAAAATGTGATTCATTTAGTCAGACATTGTGAAACAGTTTCATGCCAGTTCTAGATATTTTGGTAGAACTTTCTAAAGATGCAAACATTCAAGTAAATTGCTCATGTCAGTAGCACATCCACTTTTTACTGTTCTTTACTGCACACAAATATTTGAGTTGACAAAAAAGCGCTGGTGAACAGACTACAGGGACTTCTGAACTTTAATCAACCACAAGCACTGGCAGGGTTCAGAAGTAATTTCCTAACTATGAATCACCTGCAGACAATGAATCACATTCTGGAGAAGATTGCCAAATAAAACAAGCCATCATGT